AGTAGAGGGGGGGGGGGGGGGGGTGAGGGGGGACGCACCAAGGGCGGTGGGCCAAAAAAAAAGGGGGAAACCAACCGCGCAGCACAGCACTCGACGCAGAAGACGCACCAGGTGCGCGTAAGCCTCTCTCCTGCTCTCTCCTCTGTCCACAGACATGCCTCCCTCGTTGTGCCTCGGCGTTGATCGGGGGGTTACATAAATACTCCCGCCGCTACCCGCGCCCTCCCCGCCCGCGGGGAAACTGAAGCCCGTCCCTCGTTTGCCGTGCTGTGGGGTGCCTCCGGTCCCATGCTGCGGAGTGAAATACATTTCGTCCCCTGCGGGAAGGAAACAAAAAAGGGGGTCAGTGGAGAAAGGGGCATATTTACCATGGGGTATCCTCTGCATCTTGTTCTTTTCGCTGGCCACTACGGGCAGCCCGGGGTTGGTGTATCTCTTAAGCAACGGAGTGGCTAGACTGCCACAGGTCACAGCCGGGGGCTGTGTGTCGCTTCGCCTGCGTCGGTTGTCCGGCCTACTTGTGTGTGCGACCAGACTAAGTTAATGTGGCTGCGCCACCCTTCACTCGATTTCGTTTATCCATTTTTTGTCCGAGACGAAGCGAAAAGCACCGCCATTGCGACCGTCAAGTCACGTACGTACAAGACCTACTGAAAACAGCGGGTAAATCGCGAACGGGAACGGACGGTCTTCTAAGCGAATCACGGCATGGCCTCAACAAGCTGCGCTATTGAAAACGAGACTTGCTTTCGAAATCCCGCCCACCAAACGCATGTCAAGCGGGTTGAAAAAGAGGAGTGACAGATGTAGATAAGACTACTGTCCCAACCTCAACACAGAACCACAAGAAAGCAACCCCCGATGGTGGGTGATGGGTAATGACATCATTCACTTTTGTCATCACTGTAAATCACAGCCAACAGCATTTCTGCCGGGCAGGGGCTCTAACCCGTGGCCACACAGAAGCGTTCCCTCTCCTATCCCTCCCGCGGTGCTATTCCATCTACACCGCGCTCGGAAAAATGCCCACCTTCCGCGTTGTAAGCCTCTTCCACCGAGCACCCCCCCCCCCTGCCCCCCCTCCCGCCCCCCGGAGGGTTCGGAACGGTCGTGAAGTATCCCCCACCCCCTTCCGCACCGGAGCTGGGCGGCGGGGTCGACACGAACCCTTGTCCTTGACCGTGCCCCCCGCCCTCCCGCAGCGCGCCGGGCAGCGACACGTTTCGCTGCAATCGCGCGGAGGGTGGGTCTAAGTCCGCCGTCAAGGCTGCGGCCGACAGGTGGGGCTGGTCCAGGAACCCCCCCCCAGCCGCCGCCGCGGCGGCCGCCGCCGCCCCCATCCCGCCGATCACGACCAGGCTGCCGTCATTGGCGATCGCGCTGTAGTTGCCGCAGCTCGCCGACGAGTTTCGGGGACGGTGACCCCGAACCGCCGGTACCTCGGTAAGGTGCGCGGGAGCGAGGAGGTAGTTACCTCCGGCCCCTCCACCGCCGCCAAGGACATCGTGGTGTGATTGCTGCAGCTGCTGCTGCTGCTGCTGCGGGCCCGCGTGGGGAGCACGGCCGCCGCTGCTACCGCCGCTGCTGCTGCCGCCCCCGTTTGCGGACGCGGTGCCGCCGCCGTCGAAGTAGCTGCTGTTGATGGCCGCCTCGCCCATCACCATGTCGCCATCGTTCCCACCGCCGCTACAAGACGCCGTGTCTCCTCGATAGGCCAACGGGGAGGCGGCGGTGCCGGCTCCGGTGGCATGACGGCCGCCCCCGCCGCCGCCGCTTACGCCGAGACCGCTCCCAGAATACGGCCCGCCCTCGTTCCGTGGCGAAGAGGAAGACGACCGCCCAAGTGACGAAAAGCTTCCTCTCAAACCTCCTCCTGCTTGTGAAAGAGGGGTCGCCGTAGCCGCCGCCGCCGCCGCCGCCGCCGCCGCCGCCCCGCCGGGGAAGCTGGTGCCGGCAAAGTGGTGCTGGTGGTGCTGGTGGTGCTGGTGGCGTTGCTGGAAGCTTTGCTGCTGCTGTTGCTGCTGCTGACGGTCCTGCTGCTGCTGCCGTTGACAATGTCTCTGCAGCTGCTGACGTCGCTGCAGCTCCAAGCCGTCAGCAGTCCCCGACAACGCACTCCCGCCGCCGCCCGCCGTCGCTTCGTCGTCGTACCCCACGCCTTCTCCGCGCATGCCGCGATACGCCGGAATAATGCCCCCAGAACCCATCCCCATCCTGAAGCCTCGCGCATCCCCGCTCCCCCCCCTGTCACTGACGCCCTCCAAACCGTTGCCGATTCCGATCAACCCTGCACCGGAAACCCCCCTGAGGTCACCCCCGATGGCTGCTGCGGCCGCAGCAGCCGCTACCCCTCCGAGCATCACGCCCCCCGTGCTGCTCCGCCTCATGTGTGCCGCCGCCACTGCCGCCGTCGCTTCCACGAGCGGGCGGGCGGGGCGTCTAGCGGCCGCGGCATCAGCGGAGCCGCCGCTGCCGCTTGGATCTCCAGACGTCAGGCCGCTGCCTCCGCCGCTGCTCAGTGACGCCGTCGACGAGCACGACGTATCAGCCAGCGACACTCCACGACGCGGCTGCTGGTACTGGAGGGCGTTACCCGTGCCAGGATACGCTACTGCTGCTGCTGCTGCTGCTGCTGCTGCGGATGACGAGAGTGATTCCACGAGACCACCACCGCCGCCGGCCGCAGAAGAGCAAGTGACTCCCGAGGGTCTCTCCGGGGAAGGGGTTATTCGAAACAGCTGTCCGCTTACTCCGGCGACCCCCTCCCCCATTGACCCAAACCCTGCCCCCCCTACACCTTTACCTGATGTCGCCCCTGCGGTTGGAACAACAGACATTCCCATGCCTCCTACCGACCCGCCGTCAGCAACCCCCGCCTGCTGCTGCTGCTGCTGTTGCTGAAGCGGAAAATAGTACTTGACAATGGGTAAGGGGGAAGTAAGAGAGAGGAAGAGAGAAGACATCAAGGTCAGGTTGAACGATCGTGTGTTCCTGTCTTTAACAGGGCAAGGCGCACACGCGTGGTTAGCTGAGCACCAACATGACGTGCTAAATATCCTGTATGCAGCATCAGTCAACGGGATGACAGTATGTCGGTGTCACCTGCTGCTGTTGCTGCTTCTGCTGTTGTTGGTGGGCCCTCTTACTACCATAGAACGGCCCTTCCGCCCCCCCGCCTCCGGACACAGATTCGACCATCATCATCTGCTGCCGTTGCTGTTGCCGCTGCTGCTGTTGATGCAGCAAACGCTGCTGCTGCTGCTGCATCTGCTGGATCTGCTCCTGCTGCTGCATGTCTTGCTGCATCTGCTGCTGCTGCTGCTGCTGCTGCTGCTGCTGCTGTTGATGCTGCTGCTGGAGTTGCAGTTGTCGTTCCAGGCCCGCCCCTTCCCCGTCAAAAAGCGGTTGCTGTTGTTGCTGCTGCTGGTGGAGGGCTTGGAACCCTCCTCCCGCCACGACCACCATCCCTAGGCGGTGATTGTGAGGACCCTCGAGCCCCGTCGCCAACAAGCCCCCCCCCCCCCCCCCCCTCCCCAAAACTGGAACCCCCGGGAACCCTTTGTGGTGGTGGGGGGGCCCCCCCCCTGGCCCTTCTGGGGGGCAAAAGGTTTCCCCCCTGCCCCCCGGGGGCCCCCAATCCCGAATGTTTCTGGGGGGGTGGGTTCTCCCCCAACCCCCCCCCCCCCCCGGGGGGGAACTGTTTCAAATTTGCCCGGGAACTTTCAAACTGCCCCGAGAAGTTTGCCCCCCCGAAACGGATTCCGGGGGGACCAAGGCTGGGGAAGAAATTCCCCCGGGAAAATAAATCCTTTTTTTTTTTTTTGGGGAAGGGGGGGCGTGAAAAAAAAAAAACATGTTGTTTCAGGGAAAAAAAAACAAAAAAGGTGGGAAGGGCCTTCCATGTGACCGCCCGAAGGGTTGGCCCCTGCCGGTGCCCCAAG